GTGTGTGTGTGTGTGTGTGTGTGTGTGTGTGTATGTGTGTGTGACTGCGCGGGTGTTTGTTTGTTACTCTCCTGTACCAACACCTCGCTAATCTTCGGCACGTATATGGCCTGTGTTGCATTTGCCGCGAAACTCTTTCTAAAAATAAAAATTAAAGCATCTGCTTACTTTTCCCGAAAGGTAACATTTTAAAATATTATGTTGACAATTTTATCAGTACCGGTATATAGGCCTTAAATTGTGCATGCATGACAGCCTAAATTGTGTTAAATGAAAATGATATATTGTTTACCGACATTGTTTACCAAGATATGATTAGGTCACTGCAGTGCTTTGAAAAGAAACAACTGATATTATCTATGAGATATGTGAGATAACGGTCAAGAGATGTTGCAACATGATTGCGTATTGTAATTGTAGCTGCTGAAGTGTACGTATTGTCACGCAGAGACTTATGTATTGTTACAGCTATTGTACGCATATATACGCCTCGATCCGCTGAAGCGTAATAAAACATAATATATAGTATTCTCGAAATCTGGGTAAAAATCAGAATACTATGAGATGTGCAATAACGTCATTCGTATTGATCTATCTATGCTGAAGGTAATCCTGCATGTAAGCTTGGGGTGAAAAGACATATATAGATCTACGTGTGTCTTTTATAATTATTGCATCACTTATATAGCCTGGAGGGATCATACATGAGGCATATTATAAAAAGCAATTATAATAGGCTGTAAGCATCATGGTTGCATAGACAGCTGATGGCTAAATGGAGCCTAGTAAACTCCACAATCAAGTTGCTGTTATGGAATTCTGGTTCTAATAAGTGGCCCACCTGGTACTAGGGTTCTATATAAAGTAAGTGGGTGGATGGACTCTAGCATGTGGAGTGCTTTTTCTCGTTCCTTTGGTGTTGAAAGACTAGAAGAAATATTCTTTTGAAAAATTGCCCTAGCTCTCACATTTAAAAAAATGTGGTAAATTGAATCTAGGCAGACATATATATATATATATA